CTTCTGGATCGGCAGCTCCGTGAGCCGCTCCCCGGTGGTCGTGGTGATCCCGTATGACAGCGGCAGAATGGTGTCTTCAACGGCTATTCGCTCTGTGATAGGTAGAATTGGGTGCAACCGAAGGCTCTCCTGAACGGGCGTTTACAAACCCCGATGTACTCGGAATACGTCTGTACGAACCTTGATGAACGCGTTGAGAAGGGGTAAACTATCGTACGCTTTGCTCCCGAGATTTGCATTGATCTCAGCCCGCAGTTTACCCTGGAATTCGGGGTCATTGCCGAGTTCACGGATGGCAAATGCGAGCGTATTCGAGGTCGTGTCCTGCCCTGCCAACAGTAGAAGAGTCGTTTGTGCGGCGACTTCTGCGCCAGTCATGGCTTGTTTCTTGTCAGGTCCTTCGGGTTTTACTAGAGGATCTTTGCTATGAGGTTGACCTGCAGAAAGAGAGCGGCACTCACGCAGAAAGCTGTACACATCGTCGGGCAGCTCGAGTCCCTTTTCCAATGCCTCCAATTTCTCCTTCACCAGACGGGCACCGAGTTCATGCGAGAGGGTCTTGGACTTGAAAAGGGCGCGTGAAGCGGGATTGGGAAGCCGCAGACTTGCACGCAGGACGAATTGTGGGATATACGGGAGGATCGGGGTTGCCAGCAGTTGATCGGCAGACTGCTTTGAAGAGATCTCCCTGATAGAATAGTAAGATAGGGTACTAGAGAGCTCGAGGGACACCGACAGCACCACGCGATAATTTTCGACCAGCTCCTCCCCGAGATCCTCCAAAGAGCAGCCGAACCCAGCTGCGGAGAGTATTGTGTTCATGAGTCCAATCGGCAAACAGCCGAATTGATGATACCTTCACCAATTGCGGCCAAGGTAGCGGTGTACAACGGCCGACAAATATCAATCGTGGAGCCTTTCTCGAGTTCGGCTTCCAACCGGCTTGTCAGCTGTGCGGTCAAAAAGTTAGCAAGCATGAAGAGCTGGTATTATATGCCCTAACTGTGGAAGCTATTTCCTCAAACATCGGTATCAACTTTCGCATCGCACCTGCAGAGAATGCAGGGCCCAGTGCGGTACGCGCCCGGCGATGATCGTTCCCTAAGACATCGAGAGTGGTTAGCCGCGGGAACGAGTCAATCAGAGAGGATACCGCACCGTGCAAAGACATGACGCTGCCCTCGCCGTTCACCAAATCAGACAACTTTTGCTGGACCGGTGCGCGCTTGAATGATGAACCCGTAAAGATGCGTTGGAGACAAAGGGGGTCAGAGACTACGAGATTGTCTGCCTGCATCGAGATGAATAAGGGTCGGTGGCGGGGACGGTCTATCACTTACCCCAAAGCATCCTTTCACCCGATAGACCGGACCGTACTGTTTCTGCCATTGAAATTCATGCGAACCATAGTGCGGGGAAAGGTGAAGCTCAAGAAGAGAGCCGTATTTCCAGGAGGCGGTCGCTGGACCAGGAACATTTGCGATAGAATTTCGCCGACGAGTTAGATATCGAATGAGGAGAGCAGCACCGATGGCGAGGGCTACCGTTGAAGCAACGGTCATCGCACTGCTAAGTTGTTGAGTCGGGGTGGCTATCTCAATACGGCAGAAGACTAGTGAAACCAGCGCGGTGAGATTCCTGAAGAAAGCTATTTTCTCGTTGAATCATCGCTATGACATGTCGCCCCGAACACGTCATCATGATGATTCCACGGCCCTCCACGTCGCATGATAACGTTCTTTTTTAAAGAATCTCACCGGCAGAATCTCTGCCGACGAGCCCACGGAATGCATTGCTATGGATTGGTTGCCAGTGGACACCATGTACGTAATAATAAAAGATTCCCGACGAATACCCAGATGCACCGCCCCGAGTCGAACGCGGGCCTTCCACTCAGGACGGCCTCAAAACCATACAGTATTTGTGGATGCACACCGTATGCTATCTGTGCTTTCCACCCTTCATCTGTGCCTGAATTTATACTTGAATCTTTTCAGCAAGCTCTGCGGCGGACTCATTAAATTTTCTTCCCAGGCCCCTGCAATATTTTTAGATGACGCCGCCGTATACAACCGTTTTTCAATAAGCTCTTTTCCAAGATTGTGAAGCGGAGTGAGCGGAATAGTTCCGCTTCAGCTGACATCCTATACTAATATCTTCAGCGTCCTAAAATTAATTTAAAAACTATACAGGCCTCGAAGTTACTGGCTCATTACAGAAGTGCCCGCGATATTTAGTAAAGTGAAATCTTGACTTCCTCAGCCCAAAGAGTCGATAAAAAACGGGGAGCTAATATTATAGTCTGGGCCAAAGCATGAATTAAAAGAGCCTGGGGACCGTTTGCGCCCAGCTTGACTTGGATGTGACATGGGCATTAGTAAATTTGACTAGACGAGATCACTTACCTGCAATGGTGAGTCAAAATTAAGAAGAATGTCGAATCCGAATGATCAACTCACTTCTAACACTTGATGCCCAGGCGCCATATCAGGGGGCTGCGGGGCGCAGAAATATTTAACACGTTCAAGACAGCTGTAAGTTTCCAGGCTGAATACACGGTCGTTAACGGAAAAGGACAAGTAAAAGGAAAGCACGACTCACGGTGGATGGGTGCAATACCGGGCTACAGCCGTCGGAGCGCGGGGTCGAGCCGTAGGAAATAAAGGGTTTGAATGTGCCATTACCTGCGATAATTTCGACATCTTGAAATATTTAGGGCACTAGTGCTCATGGGAACGGCGTGCTGACAAATAAATCTAATGAATTAGACCAGGTCATTATGGGGAAATAGATTTGAAGGGGGGAAAATCCAAAGTGCCAACATCGAGATCTCGAGATATCTCAACATTGAGATATCAAATCTAGTACTGAGTAGCCTCGTCGTGAATGAACTGGCTTGTGTTTCCTAACTTGGCTTGGAGTTGCTAACTTGGCTTGTATTCAGATACTGGACACCGGATATATATCGGCTTGTCCTGGGGAAACCGGCTTGCAGGGAAAGCCAATTCTGAACGAAAATGGCTTGGGTTACACAATCTGGTTTGAGCTGCGCGGGAGAATCAGCGCTCGCAAACTTGTCATATATGTCGCTCTGAGCTGAGATATATTTCATGTGATGCAACATTAACTTACTACAGGTACGACGACGAAAACGGCATGGCACATTCGGTTCGTCATCACCGTGGGCGCCACATTCATCATCGTCCACCAGTCAAACGTCTCTCAGAATCGGATTCCGTTGCGTTGGATCACCAGGTATGGGAGAATCCTCAGTCCTCAGCCCAAGAACTGCGTGCTGGAGTCGGAGCTACCCAAAATCCTCTCGGAAAAATTAACCCCATCCTCCTGGACCCCCGTAAAGCACTGACTGAAGTTGAGACGGATACGGACCCGGCGGTGATGTCAAGGCCACCCAAACGGAGACGAGAAGCAGAGGAGGAGCAACACCGAGGTTCTTCAAAGCCGCGTACGAGCAGCCGTTTGAAGGGTAAAAGTGGACGCCAATAGAGATATATAGTATGCAGTAGGTAGATGAAAGCGGCATGGTAGAGCGGTGCCAATTCGTGCATAAACCTCTTCAGATGTAGTTTGTATGTAGCTGTGGGATTGTAGGATCATATCTACACTGGTGTTCATGCCATCAGGATTGTATCTGCTACAGTGCTAGCCATGAGTGTATTTGCGCGCAAGCCGCGCACGCCAAACAAGCCAATTTGCGCACGCCCAAAATGCCATCAGAGCCAAATTCAAACTCCGATATAGGGGCAAGCCGATTGGCCAAGCCAATCGGAAAAGTCTCCGCGAATATATGGTGAGCTTCAAGTTCTCCAGGCGGAAACGCGACTCTAGCTGGTGCAAGTCGCGGAGCACCGCGTCTGCCTCCAGAGGCGTCATGCCGACGTCGAGCACCACTGCGCTGTCGAGGAAGATGGTGTACGATGCGGTAGGTGTGTTCCCGGCGCTGGTGGCGGGGTTGGCGATGAAGAGCCAGAGGGCAGTGCCTGCGTACGGCCATTGAGCGAGAACGTAGGGCCAAGAATGAGACGCTGATCGCGACAGTGCGGTTGTTCAGCCTCGTCACATCGAAGTCGGTGGTATCCAAGTGCGTCTCGGCGTCGACAGGGGAATACCAGACCAACGGGGAAAGTCATCGACGGCGCGGTTCGCTTGACCCGCGTCAAGGGGCACGTATACGCAAATTAGGTGAAGTGAGCGAATGTATAAGACCTCATGTCTAGGTGGGAGGAGGGGAGGCGGAGGCGAAGACGAAAGGAAAACCAGTGGAGGGCCGCATCGGCGCCCGTCTGGCAGCGACAGGAGCGTATATGTCTTTGGATGCCAGCGGTAAAAACCCTTGACAATCTCCGGCGAAATTAAGCCAGAATTAGATCGGTCCGCGTAATGAATTCTTCGTGAAGCATAACCGCAGGACATGCGAATACTTCAGATCACTTGAACTGCACAATACCAGCCGCGATAAAATGGGACAAAAAAAACTAGAGGAGCACTGGCGATGTCTTCGGGTGGGTTCGAACCACCGACTCTCCCATGCAGAAATGCATGGCGCAGCACCAGTTTCGGAAGGGCGAGTTCCCTTGTACTCCACGAAGACCTGGTAGCATCTCTTCTTCCTGCGATAGGCGTGTAACATTTCCGTTAAATGAGCCGAATAAGAGTAATTGAAATGGGATCAAGGAAGAATACTATGCAGCACTATCTAGTACTCGCATAGGTACATCCGTTCGGCTGAACTGCTATCCAGTACTGCATAGTTCGCATAGCACTCATAGGTACATGCCCCGGTTTTCCGGATGTAGCTCTACCTCTCATAGCTCTTGATCGTTCACTCGCACACAACTGCATAGGGCTCCATAGCACGCTCGGCTAACGGTTTTCCTGATGTACTGACTAAGGGCGGGATGGCGATTCTTCAGGCGTGAAGCCTGCAGCACCAGATGAAACCTCCTGAATGAGACCAAAAAATGCAAGGAGGAACGAAATGTCTTCGGGTGGATTCGAACCACCAACTCTCCCACGTATAAGCTGGTATTCATGCGTGCATAATTTTTGGGAGCGATTTCCGCTGTACTCCACGAAGACCTGGTAGCCTCTTTGTGGGCCGGGATAAGTGTGCAACATTTTCTGTTAAATGAAAAAGAATTGAATGGGATTAAGGAAGAGTTGTGTGCCAGCGAACAATCAGGAGCTAAGAGAGGTACCACTATTGAATTTGGGTGCGATGGGATTCTTGAGACGTGAAGTCCACAATACTAAGGTGTGGGCCATACAAGCGTTGCAAATATCACATGAATTATCCATTCTGGGAAGAAAAGTCTTGTAAATAAGCACCGAGCCAAACCAGCTAAATTCCTTCCGTTAATCGCAAGAAAATCCCTATAAGATACTTCATACGTGGCCATATCGTCAGAGGATCTGATTTGTAGGAGGAGATGTTGTCGCAAGGTTGAGATGGACCTTGGGAACATCCTGTTGATGGCTCGACCCACTGACTTGCAACAATATCTACAGTGTTTCATAGACTCTTGTCACAAATATGAGTAGGTAATATCGTTCCAAAGACATGATTCTATGAATTCATGAAAGGAATTAGACCATAGATCTCCCATTAATATCTACGACGATTTTCTTTGGAATTTGCCTTAAAAAGGAAATTCCACGTGACGTTTGCGAAGCTCAGTCTGAGTCCTCAGGGTCCGTACATACCCCTCAACCACTTCTATGGCCTCATACCCTTCCAAGATGTGTTGCCTGCGCCTCCCTCTCCTGCCTCTTCGCCGCCGTCGTGTAAGTGCCCTGCCTCCACCCCGCTTTCGTCACCATTGGCAGTAAAGTGTATATTTGAAAACAGCAATGATTTGCGTAAGTTGCTTTGTGAACCATCGATTTGAACCACCGACTCTCTCTTGTAGCCAGCTGTCATACCAGAACTAGTGAGAGCGAGTTCGTGTACTCCACGAAGACCTGCAAGCCTCTCTCTGAACCGCGGCGAGGGAGTAATCATTTTATCAACAGCCGAGTTTAGACGTTAGCGCAAGGTGACTTGGAGCATGTATGCATAATTCAGTAGATATAATTACAGGAATTTGGCGCGATGCGACCAAGATGCGACTCGTTCACATGTGCGAAGCCTGCAGCATCAGATCAAGCCTGGGGAAAATAAAACAAAAAGCCAGAAGGAAACGTAACATGTTTTCAGGTGGATTCAAACCACCGACTCTCCCATGCATAATTGACCAGCATCGACCCCATTGCGGGGGAGCGAGTTTCCTTGTACTCCACGAAGACTTGGAAGCATCCTCGTTGACTGGGACAAATGTGCGACGTTTTTCACAAAAACGAGTCGGCAATTACCGGTGAGCTGGATAAGATGAATGCGCTTGGCTTGCGAAACCGAACTGCACGACAGCGGGATTTGATTACTTCACAGTACATGAAGACCACAGTACTAGTCAGAGATCCTGAGCCAAAAAATGAAACAAAAACGCAACACAATCTCCACATGTCTTCGACGTTTGTATGGCCCACACCTTTAGTCGGATCCTAAGCTGAAAAATGAGACCAAAATAACACCAAGGACACCAACAATGTCTTTGGGTGGATTCGAACCACCGACTCTCCCGCATATATGCTAGTATTCGCCCTCAAATTTTGGGAGCGAGTTCCCTTCTACTCCACGAAGACGTCATAGCCTCTTTGTGGACCGGGATAAATGTGCAGACATTAGGGGAGTTCACGGTAGGGCAGAATTTGCCATTTGTGAATAAATATATTCATTTGATGAGACAAATAAAAATTGTTGTTTGTGGAATAAATGCATGATCACCCCATTTGAGTCCCAGGATATTATTATATTTCTGTAGCATCAATTCCACCTGCCAGGCACACGCACCTCACAAACCACCTTATGTGCGCCATCTAGTCATCTGACAGACCCCTATATCAGCTAAACAATTTAGATCAGGGAGTATTTTTTTCTATTTTTTTTTGATGGGAGGACAGGACTGTTGCAGACAATGAGCAGGAGAGGTGGGACGACAGGCAGGAGAGGGATGGGATGATGGGTGGGACAAGGTGAGACAATGGGCAGGAAAGGTGGGATGATGTGCGGGATGAGGCGGGATGATGAGAGGCGGGATGATGGGGCAGGATGATGGGTGGGGGCACGGCAGTCACGGGCAGCTTGCTTACTCAAGCAGAGGAATATATTTTACAAACGAGTGTTTATTCCACAAACGAGTTTGAAACTCGTTTGTGGAATATCTTTAGTTTGTAAAAAATAATGGTCCTATCACTCAAGTATATATATTCACAAATGGGAAAATATGCCCTACCGTGAACTCCCCTATTTTCCAAAAAAAAAAAGAAGAGTCGGCAATTACCGGCGAGCTAGATAAAATGAATGCCCTTGACTTGCACGACCGAACTGCAGGATGGGGTGATTTGATTGCTTCAGAGTACAGGAAGCCCACATTACTAGCCGGATCCTAAGCTGAAAGATGAGACAAAAAAAAATCAGGTACTCTAACCATGTCTTCGGGTGGAGTTGAACTACCAACTCTCCCCTGAATAATCGAACATTTATCCAGCAATTTAAGGGAGTGAGTTCCCTTGTACTCCACGAAGACTTGATAGCCTCTTTGTTGGCCGGGAAAAGCTAGCAACATTTTCTGTTGAATGAGCCGAATCAGAATTTAGTAAATAGAAGCAAGGAGGAGTTATGTGCCAGCGAACAATCAGGGGCTACGAGAAGTAAAACTACTGAATGTTGGCGCACTGTCGATCCTTCAGGCTCCGGTGTGAAGTCCACAGTACTAGTCGGATCCTAAGCTGAAAAATGAGACAAAAAGGCAGCGGCAAGATATGTCTTCGGGTGGATTCGAACCACCGTCTCTCCCATGCATAATGCTGCCGTACACACAATTTTGGGGAGCGGGTTCGGGTACTCCACGAAGACTTGATAGCCTCTATGTGGGCCGGGACAAGTGTGCAACATTTTTCACAAAAACAAAAGTGAGCCATCGTCAAGCGAAGCAACTCCGACAAGGTTTGGCTTATATATCGTTCCTACAATGTCTTAGGATCCACATTCAGCCCCACCACCATTTCGGTAAAATTGATCTTTTTTTTTTTGCCTAAACCTGTTTGTGCCGGGACTCTCTTCTACGTAGCAGCACTATAGCGCCTACATTGTTTCATACATGTTCTAATCACTTGTTTGCATTGGAATCGAATGTCATCATGTACGGCGATTCAGGCTTCCCTTTTTCAACCCGATTTTTTATGTTTCAGCTTAACACTCGGTTGGACTTCAATGTGGCAGTGTCCACGCGGACAAACGCTGAAGACAATTAAAAAACGACAGAAATTGTGGTCCCTGTGTTGCTGGCAGTGCCTACATACTGTTATCTGCGATCGGCTGCAAACTAAATAAATCAAAAAATTATCAAAAATTGAGCCACATTGGTCTTCAATGTTGGAAGATTGCTATTTCTTCCCCAGGAACTGGGTTTGAGTCGGGCACGGAGCAAATAATCGCGGAAACAAGCCCTTTCGTGCCTTGTTCATAAACACCTGTTTACAAAGTAAACGGAAAACCGTTTATAATAAACAGGAGAATAATCAACAGAACCCTACAACACTCTGCGGCAATTCATATTGAGAAGTAGGTGGAGATTTTAAATGAAGAAAAAAAAAAGAAATTGAAATTGAAATTGAGTCCCAGAATTCAAACCGATGTTGAAATATTCAACGAAATGGAATATGCGGGCCGATTGACAGTTGCCGTCAGATGTGTCACAGACTTGGTGCTGGCCTTGACGTCGACTTCGAAGCTGCGATCAGAAGCTGCCAACAACAGTTTATTTTGCATACATGATACAAAACCCTTAGCCCAGTTGATGACTGGTTACTTGCCATAGAGAACTCCTGTCACCTGCATGCATCGCTACAGGACAAGACATTCATCGAGTAGGCAACTACAGAATGTCCATACCATATAAAGGGTCCTGGAAACTACATAGTATCTGACATGGGGACTACAAGAAATTCGAATATACTCTGAAATGGCCATAGTAGAAGTAGGAGTCATTTTTTTGCCTGGAGATATCAAAGAGGGAAATACCTCACACATGGAAAATTCACAAATGACTACAGTCCATGATGGACAAATGCAACCCAGCGCTCAAAGGTCATGCCTGGTTCCCTGGAAAGCGCTTTCACAGCGAGATGGAGCGCTTTAGCTGCTTTGCTGAGATCTGGGAGTCTTGGAGGGACTGATTGTGGACTGCAATCTTTGAACAGATATTCATAGAATGTATCTGCAATCTTGGGGCCATCATCGTCATTCATCCTCCTATGTCACAGATCAGAATTTGCAGAGGGAAACACATCAAATGGCTAAACTTACCACATTGTGGCAACCACTCCACCAAATCCTGCAAAAAGCAGGCTTGCAGCAAGGTGCATGGCTTCATCCGGTGTCTTTGCCTCACCCTTGGCTGTTTCACAGGCACTGAGAAAGGCCAGCTTCATGGTATTCTCCGTTGTGTGTGTATGATCATTCACTGGTGTGTGCATGATCCCAGCCATGTCAAGGCGGCCATCAGAGAGAATGAGGCCGCTATTTAGAGGGTTTTCGAAATCTTGAGTACCATGGCATGCAAAGTGAATCACTGATGAATTATGTAAATGCTGCAGGACTGTGTCTCGAGTACAGCTCTCCAGGGGAGTGAGCCATTGGCTGGGAACTCTGGCCTTGATTTTTTCGAGCTCCAACTCTGTACCTGGAAGCAGATCACAATGTGGTGCATCCGGTTCAATCACAGCCGTCATTTTGAAAAAGGCGGGTTTGTGAGCTGGAGGATTCAATAGGGCTGTTAATGTGGGAGTGTTGGATGAGATAACATAGTCTGAAACACAGTCTGTTCCATCTGTGTTATAAATTCCTGCTGCATGCATAGGAACAAAAATGAATGGCCCTGTCGGACACCACCATAAGCGAGAGGGATTGTCTGACTTCTGCAACGAGGGGAATCTTAAATCACCCATAAAATGGAGAGAATGCGGAAACTTACTGTCAC